TATACAAAACACTTAGGACCATTTAATGCATGCAAACAAAAACAGATTGGTGGTTGTGAGACTGGCAAGAGAAGGAATGGAGAGTGACCATTAATGGATAAGGAACTTGATTTGTAGTGATGAAAATACTTTAAAATATGACATAGATGATGGTTGCAAAGGAGTGTGAAAGGTCTAAATGTCATTAGTTCACTTTAAAATTGTCACTTTCTGTTGAATTATTTTCAGGTCAAGATGTAAAAATTATTTTTTTTTACCTGATATTGGCAAAAGCAAATCTAAAGCCAAAGTCAATAAAAAACGGAAATGAAAAGATGGAAAATAAGTTTGCAGAATCCTTCTACCTACATATAGTGAAAACTTGGTGTGTAATTATTACATCAATTCAAAACTATGTGAAATGATACACAGTTAATCAGTTTCTGGACAATGCATTATACACACTAAAATGATTTAACATGTCTAATGGTTGCACTGAAAATACTCGATGTTATAAAGCTGAATTTAGACTCTAATGAATGAATAAAAACAGCAAATGAATGTATAACTTATTTTTTTACCAGACATTTAAAGAAGAACTAACTCCAATTCTTCTCAAACTATTCAGAACAATCTAAAAAGAGGGAATCCTCCCAAATTCTTTCTATGAAACCAGCATCACCTTAATCCCTAACTCAGAAAAAGATGCAGCATTGAAAGAAAATTAGAGACCAATATCTCTGATGAACATAGATGCAAAAATCCTCAATAAAATTCTGGCCAATAGAATGCAACAACACATCAGAAAAATCATCCACCCAGACCAAGTGGGATTTATTCCTGGTCTGCAGGGATGGTTCAACATTCGCAAATCAATCAATGTGATTCACCACATTAACAGACTGCAGAAGAAATCCCATATGATTTTTTCAATAGATGCAGAGAAATCATTCAATAAAATACAATACCCTTTCATGATGAGAATCTAAGTAAACTGGGTATAGAAGGAACATTCCTCAATATACTCAAAGCGATTTATGAAAAACCCACGGCCAGCATCCTATTGAATAGGGAAATGTTGGAAGCATTTCCACTGAGATCTGGTACCAGACAGAGATATCCACTCTCACCAATGCTATTCAACATAGTACTGGAAGTTTTAGCCAGAGCCATTAGGCAAGACAAAGAAATTAAAGGGAAAAAACTTTGGAAGAACTCTACTAAGAGAATTGGAACTCATTGAAGAGTTTGGCAAAGTAGCAGGATATAAAATCAGTGCACAAAAACCAACAGCCTTTGTATACAGAGGCAATGCCACAGCTGAGAAAGAACTGCTAAGATCAATCCCATTCACAATAGCCACAAAAATAATCAAATACCTTGGAATAAACTTATTTTATTCAAATATGAATATTACAATGTTGACCAGTTAAAAATGAAAATACATAAATGAAACTTTAAAGGAGGGCCTCTATCTGAGATGGGTTTTTGTGTGTGAACATAAAACCCAGACTAAGATTTTTACACAGTATTATTTTTAAGAAGAGAGGAGGATTGGGGCCAGTGTGGGGGTGTAGTGGATATAATCACCACCTGTAACCCTACCATCCCATGTGGGTGCCAGTTCATATCCTGGCTCTTCCACTTAAAATCCAGTTCATGGTTAATGATCCAGAAAATGCAGTGGAAGATGGCGTAAGTCCCTGATTCTCACATGGACAGCTGAATTAATCTCTTAGGTTTGGTATGAACCAGCACTGGGCCACTGCAGATATCTTCAGAGTCTATCACCAGATAGAAAGCTTCCCCCACTCTAACACTGATTCTGTGAATCAGTGCTTCAGAACAAAAATGCATTGAGTGAAGTATAAATTGTTCATAGGAGGCTACATTCTGCAAGTTATAACATCAGAATGCAAAATCGTTTTTATAAATTTTAGTTTCTAACCATTGAAAACTGAGAGAGTCTTAAGAGCTACTCCTGAGAAAACATGTTTCCTTGGACATTATTCTATCTCTTAATACTTTCAAAGCATTCTTCTCAGGTCTGAAGAGAATAATGTAGCACTTGGGGACAAAGATGCAGCCAAGGAGCCCCGCACTGGAGCACAAGATGGAGAAGACCTCCACAGCCACCATGACCTTCCCTTGGTGCTCTGGTAGACAGGCAGGAAGGTCACCCACACACTGCAGAACACCAGCATGCTGAATGTCAGTAATTTGGCTTCATTGAACTTGTCAGGCAGATTCCTGGCTAGGAAAGCCACAGTGATGCTGGCCAGGGCTAAGGAGAACAGGAAACCCAGGACACAGTAGAAGGCAGTGACTGAGCCCTTCTTGCACACCAGGATGATGTGGCCATGCTCAGAGTGAGCATCTGTGTTGATAAAGGGAGGAGAAGTCCCAAGCCAGATGGCACAGAGAGACAGTTGGATCAGGAAGCAGATGGGAATAATGGAGTTAGGTACCCCTGATATCAGCCAGTGTTTCATCCTTCTCCCTGGGGCAGTGACCTTGAAGGCCAGAAGCACAGTGATAATTTTGGCCAGGACAGTGGAAACAGCCATGGTGAACACCAATCCTAACATGGTCTGCTGGAGGACACTGGTGGTTTTGTTGGGACAACCAGTGAACAGCAAACAGAGTAAGCAGAAGATGAGAGCAATGAGCAGGATGTAGGTGAGACAACGATTGTTGGCCATGACTATGGGAGTGTCTCGGTGCTTCACAAAGACCCCAAGAACAACAGCGGTGAGGACAGAGAAGCACAGAGCTGTGCAGACAAGGGTCATCCCCAGGGGATCTTCAAAAGATAGAAAGGTCACTTTTTTTGTGGAAGCACTGTTCTCACTCTTTGTTGGCATACTGGTGATTTGGACACTTCACTAACTTGTCCATATCAGGTGAAAGACATACAGTAACATCATCCCACGTTCAGTTATTTCTGATTCACAAGGACCTTCTAGAATAACTGACAGAGTTGATTAGGCAACTTATCCTTTTCTCTTTTGAAGAGATGATACATAAATTACTTGCAATTAATTATGCCCATCTTCCTCATGTGAGACAGGCTGCTATTACTTCATCCCCCTATTTTATATTACATACTGTTGTGTATATTGTCTTTTTCTCCTAACAAAGCCCTAAGACCAATTCTTTGAACCTATTCATGATGCTTCAAACAATACATTAGTCTGTGTCATTTGTAACACCATAACTTCACTGTCCATGGTTTCTTGAGTTCAGGAAGTGATGATCTAGAGGATTCCATGCATGGTGAAGGCTACTCTGCCTTTGTACATGGCCGATTTTTGCTGCATCTTCTCTGTCGTTCCCCGTCTTCGTGGAGGAATGACACAGGACCCTGCGCTGTTCTTTTGTCTGCTCGGCCCTCCCCGGTTTTGCTGCTGGTTCTTCCTGGGTTGGCTACCATCCCTTCCACCTCCGTGGAAGGGCGGTTCCCCCTAGCCACTTTCCCCACTTCCGCAGGAGAGTGGCACACCGCCGGCCGGCTCTCTCGGGGGCTGCACAGGTGTTCCCTCAGATAGATGTTCCCCTTAGATGTTCCTGGTGCATGTTGTCTCTCTCCTCCTTTATAGTCCTCTTCCGCCAATCCCAACTCTGCTACCCACACGCCGAGTACGCTGCTCTCCTCCAATCAGGAGTAAGTCCTACAGTTTATTGGTTGAACTGGAGGCAGCTGTGTAGAAGCTGTTTCTCCCTTCTCAGTGCCATATTGTGGGAGAGCAGATGCATAGAATAAGTCCTAATTCTAGTAACTTAGTCTAGTCCGAGTTGCTCCCAGTTGCTCCCCACACTTCTCTTTCAACACTAGATAGCAGCATCCCTCAACCGTTACTTTAATGGTGCGATTCGCTCCCTACTCTCATGGCCTAAAAGCTGCCCAAGGCTCACACTATTTGTAATGAAAGATTATTGATTGATTGAGATATTGATTTAATTCATTTGAATCACCATGTTACAGATAGAGGAAGAATGACATGGAGACAGTGGGAACTCTTCCATCTGCTGGTTCACACCATACATGGCCACAACAGCCAGAGATGAGCCAATCTATAGCCAGGAGTCAGGGGTTTCTTCCCAATCTCCCAAGTGGGTAAAGGGGCTCAAGCTCTTGGCCTGTCCTCCACTGGTTTTCCAGGCCATCAGCAGAGAGGTGGAACAGAAGAGGATCAAGGGCCAGAGCGTTGGCATGGTAGATTAACCCACTCTCTATGGCATCGGTATCAAATATAGGTGCTGGTTCCAGTATTAGCTGTTCTGCCTCCATTCCAGCTCTCTGCTATGGTCTGGGAAGCAGCTGAAAGATGGCCCAAGCACTTGGGTCCTTGCATCTGCCTGAGAGACCTAGAAGATGCTCCTGGCTTCAGATTTGCAGAGCTCCAGACATTGCGGCCATCTTCGGAATAAACCAGCATATGGAGACTGCTCTCTCTGTTTCTCTGCCTCCCTGTAACTCTGTTTTTCAAATGAATTAAAGAATAATTTTAAAAAAATAATATGCACAGAGCAGAGCCCCCTGAGGGCCTCTAGTACAAGTTGTAGTGTACAGCATTCTTGCTTCAACTTTGTTTCCAACCTTCTCACAATTTCCACATTTCTTAAGCAATCTTAATATACCCTTTAGGACACAAAAGCATTCTTTTTTGCATTTAATGGGTTGTTTTATTTCTTTGTTTATAAATCACAGATCTCTGTTTATTTTATTAAATATTTTTCTGCAGTTATGCTAATTACTATCACTAGTAATTCATGGGCTAATAAACTGAATTAGATTTTGTGCACCAATTTGAAAAATAACTGTAGATCAATATCCCTGATGTACATAGACACAATAACATTAGGCAAAATACTAGCCACTCGAATCCAACAACACATCAGAAAGATTATTCTCCTAGAACAAAGGGGATTTATTTCTCGTATGCAGGGATGGTTCCACATCCAAAAATCAATAAATGTGATATGCCACATTAAGAAAGTGAAATCCAAAACCACATTATTATCTCCATAGATGCAGAGAAAGCCTTTGACAAAACTCAGCACCCCTTTATGATGAAAACCTTAAGCATTGTATATAGAAGGAACACTCAACATAATCAAAGCAATTTATCACAAACCCACTTCCAATAACCTACTGAATGGGGAAAAATTGCATGCATACCTATTAAGAACTGTAACCAGACAAGGGTGCCCATTCTCACCCTTGCTATTTAATATAGTCCTAAAAGTTTTAGCCAGAGCCATCAGGCAAGAAAAAGAAATCAAACGGATAGAAATAGGGAAGGGAGAATCCAAACTATCCCTATAAGGAACCCAAAACACTCCACAAAGAGATGACTGGAGTTCACAAAAGAGTTTGGTAAAATTGCAGAATATATGATCAACACACAAAATCAGTAGCCTTTGTATACACAAACAGCCCCATGGCTGAGAAAGAACTTCTAAGATCAATTTCATTTACAGTAACTACAAAAATTTAAATACCTTGGAATAAAAAAAGGACATTAAAGATGTCTATGATGAAAATTACAAAACATTAAAGAAAGAAATAGAAGAATGCATAAAAAAATGGAAACATATTTCATGTTAATGGATTGGAAGAATCAATATCATCAATATATCCATACTACTGAACGCAATTTATAGATTCCGTGCAAACCAATCAAAATAGCATGCAACTGGAAATCATTATGTTTAGTGAAATTATCCAGTCACAAAAATATAAATATCATATGGTTTCTGAGTTGTGGTAATTAGTTGAATACCTAAAATGTAATCTATAGGGACAAAACTGACACTTTGTGTACCATCTTCTTGTGTACCTGAGAAGATCACCTGAATGAATGTGAGTTTTCTCTCTCCCCTTCTTACCTAATTTCATCTGTGGTAATTTTTAGAATACAGGAATGTCCCAATATGAGCAGAAATTCTTGTTCTTGAGAGTACTCCTACAGTAGAGGTATCACTCTCCTTCAGCTGTAATGTGGGATGTCTTTGTCCAGTCCTGAAAGCCAGATGAGGGGACTCTTCCTGTCCTTATCTCACTGTGCACGACACGACAGAGGTAAAATCCCAGAGCCACACTGGGTAAAAGAGAGGGGCTCCAGCTGATGTCCTCAAATTCAGAGTCTGAAAGAAGAATCATGAAAATGCAGAACATTTAGATGTCATAATCACTCACTGGGGAGCCTCAAAGCACTGTAGATCAAAAGGCACTGTACCTGGTGAAGCTGAATGGCTGTAATCTATTTTATATGGAAATCTGAAAAGTATTTTCCAATAAATAATTACTATTGGTAGCAGTTCTAACTCCAAATAGGTCATATTCTCTGAATATTTTCTCCAGACCTGCATGCAACTAGTCTTGCAGGCCAAGGAAAAATATCATGCATTTCTACAGGCACTGACACAGAACTTCCTCAAGGTTAGACTACAGGTACCCCTTGTATTTCAAGTGTCCTGCATATTTGGTCATGATGAACTGTCTATTACATGTTGATGGCTTGTTCACACTCAATTTGTGCCTGACAGGAAGAGGCATCTTTGAATTCTGGGGCACAGGATTTTATGTTTCCAACATATCAAATTATAAACTGGCTTTTCAAGTATCTTTTTATTATCTATGTTGCTTTCTGTGTGAGATAAGTTGAAAATTCTCCTTGCATGATTTTTTCACTTGTGAAGTACCTGTGTTTTTATCACAGTCTTTTCCTCCATTTAAGAACCGTGTTGGTTTCTCATGGTCATGGGATGATCTCATTTGAGGTTTTCATTTTCTTCTCCATGACTCAGCATTTATCTGGGATTCCAACCTTAAATTGCCCTAGTTTGATGGTGACCTACACACAAATCTCTCCTATTACAATGGCTCTTGGGCTATGACTGTTGTTGCTTCAGGCAAAAATTCTAGGGTTTTCTGCTCAAACACATTTTGCAAAGTAATCCAAATGATACTTTTTAAAAATACATTGATGTTTTGTGGTAGAAACTCTTATGTGTTTTTTTTTTTTTGAAGACTGAAAAAGGTATTTCAAATCAAAGAACTTGAATTTTTAGTAAATTAAGAATGGAAATCCAAAAGCACAAGGAAGCAGAATTGGGCAGAGGCTCCTACTCAATACATGTGGAGCTGAATGCCATGGCCACCCCCAGGTCTACTAGGTAAGACATTCCAGAGTGCATCCCAACAGTCTTCCTGTATCTGTAAGATATCATTGTGATTCTGAGGGTTGAATAACAAGGAAAACAAACAAATTAACTCCTCTTCAAATGCTGGAGTCTCAGTGAGGTAAGACTTCCTATTCCAGAATAAAAATATTCCACAATATACTGTGCAAGTTAAGATGTAAATTTCCAGCCCAAGGGAGACAAGGTACATTAGATTTATTTTACACTGCAGGATTACTAGGTTTCACCAAAATGGTGGGGAAGAAGCTAGAAGGATTCTCCCTACTCACGATTCCCCAGGGAACATTCCACTCACCCATCCCCACTCCTCTCCAGGTCTCACAACTTGGGATAGAACCTGGTAGGGCCTGTTGAGCTGCAGAGCAGTGAGGAGTTGACATGGGGCAGTGGCACAAACACACTTTGCTCCTCTGCAGCTCAGCCCTTGGGAGCAGCACACATAAAGCCCCATAGCCTCATATTCTGCACCAAAGAAGCAAGGCAGGTTGTGTCTTCTCACTTTTCATGCACATGACCCATATTCCTGTACAGGACATGGTTCCTGCCTCTGTCCTCTCATGGGAAACCTGTGCTCGTGGTGATGAGGCTCCTGACTTTGTGTGAAGATCAATGTGGGGGCACTCATTATGGCTGATGTGTAGGTCTTTGTGAACCTCAGAAGTTATTATGGAGGAGCTGACCTGAGAGGTTCCACAATTAGGAGCCCTTGGACCCATCCTCAACCCCCTTAGGTGCATTCACTGCAGTCTTGCAGGCATGTGCAAATCCACCCTTTGCCTCAGGCACCCTCTAATGCCTGAGGGCAGTATTGACCATGACTGAAAGGAAGAAAGACCTGGGCTTAAGAGCAGTAGACAGCTCCAAGTCAAGAGTGGGTGAACTGAAACATTGAAGAATAATGGAAGGGATCTCCATGGGAGCACAAGGTGGCCCTGCAGAAATAAAATTCAATGCCAATATGTTTCTAGCTAATCAAATAAACAAGCCTATCAATACATAAGTAGATAAAACTCTCCATTTTCCTGTTTATCTATTTGTGAACTTAATTCAGTCACATATCCTCTCATTTTAACACAAGCACTTGTACATCTGCCTCAAAGGAAGCAACTGGCCCCAGCTTTCAAATGTTTCATCCTCTCACTCACTCACCTGTACAGTACAAGCATATTTCAGGATGCCCTTACATCAGGAGGAATACTGTTCAACACACTCACTGTATTGAACAACCTCCTAATTCTTTGTGTCCTGGAGCCATGGCCCGGATCTTACCTGTTTCAGGGAATGTCTTCCCAGTGTCTGCTTACATGAGCTCACATGAAATTTCCAAAATTCACTGGAACCCTACGCCACCACTCACACTTTCCTTTATACAATCTTGACCACCAATATCTTACTTCTCAGTTCTGTTTGAATGCTTCATCTTATGTATGTACTGCAGCTTTCCAATCTCTGTGTCACACAATGGAACACCTTTTTATCACCTCAGAATGCATTTCCTTCATACCATACAGGTTGATAAGTGCTTCGTTGGTAGCATTCACCTTCATCATTCATTTCCTATAAAAGATGTGAGAAAGAGTCAGAAATTTCTCCATGTTGAAAACCTTCCAAAACCTATTTGCCTATTGTCAACATGCATGCATGAAGCACACACACACAATGTAGATTTGTTTTCAATCTGTCACATTAATAGCCATGTTCTATGTCATCATGAAGCCAGACACACAGGTAATAAAAGGAAAATAAGCTAATGGGATTACATCAAACTAAGGAGCTTTTGAACAGCAAAGGAAACAGCAACATGAAGAAACAACTGATAGAAGGGGAGAAAATATCTGCAAACTAGTCAGCTAATAAAGGATTAGTATGTAGGAGTAATAAGGACCCCATGAAACTCAGTATACACAAAACAATCAATCCAGTGAAGAAATGGGTAAAGGACATAAATAGGCATTTTTCAAAGGATGAATTACAAAAGGCAAATAGATGACATCAGCATTGTAGTGTAGCAGGTTAAACCTCTGCCTGTGATGCTAGCATCCCATATGCACACAGGTTGGAGACTGAGCTGCTTCACTTCTGAACCAGCTCTCTGCTAATGTACCTGGGAAAGCAATAGAAGATCACCCAAGTCCTTGGTCCCCTGCACCCACAGTGTGAGACCCAGAAGAAGCTCTAAACTTCTTAGCTTGAGCTAGGAAGTTTATGAACAGCAAAGGAAACACTCGACAAAGAGAAAAGGAATCAGGCTGAATGGTAGAAAATATTTACAAACTATCCTCCTGATAACCAATTAAGACATAAAACATATAAGGAGCTCAAGAAACTGAACCAGGCCGGCACCGCAGCTCAATAGTCTAATCCTCCACCTAGCAGCACCGGACCACAGGGTTCTAGTCCAGGTTGGGGCGCCAGATTCTTTCGCAGTAGCCCCTCTTCCAGGCCAGCTCTCTGCTGTGGCCCAGGAAGGCAGTGGAGGATGACCCAAGTGCTTAGGCCCTGCACCCGCATGGGAGACCAGGAGAAGCACCTGGCTCCTGCCTTCAGATTAGCACAGTGTGCCGGCCACGGCACGCCAGCCATGCTGGCCGTTGGAGGGTGAACCAACGGCAAAAGGAAGACCTTTCTCTCTGTCTCTCTCACTATCCACTCTGCCTGTCAAAAAAAAAAAAATGAAAGAAAGAAAAAAAAAAAGAAACTGAACCACAACAAAACAAATAACCCAGTGAATAAATGGGCAAAGGAAATGAAAAGGCATTTTTCAAATGATGAAATACAACAGACACATGGACAAATGACCATCATGGAAATGCAGATAAAATTTCATGTGAGCTCATGGAAGCAAATATTGTGAAGCTGTCCTCAAATCAGGTTTAAAGGAGGCATCCCATGGAGCTGTACTCAATGAAACAAGCAATTTTTTATCACCTAAGTTAGAATGGCTATCAACCAAAACTTAAAAGGAAAAAGAAAAAGTGCTTGTGAATATGTGAGAGAAAAGGTACCTAGTCCACTGTTGGTGGGAATGTATACTAGTACAGCCATTGTGGAAGACAGTATGGGGATTCCTCAAAAATCTGAAAATAGATCTACCATTTGACCCAGTCATTGCACCCTTGGAAATTTATCCAAAGGAAATTAAATCAGCATATGAAAGGGTCATCTGTACCCCCTATTTTAATGTATATGAGTGAAACTGAAAGCTTCACATTTGATAATTTTTTAATAATCCTTATCTACTTTTGTGCAACAGTGGTCTTTGTATTTTTCTTGTTGAATTCTTAATTAGTGCAGAATTAAACTGATGAGCATGAAGTGAATTGAATGTATGGGGTTCAGTGTTGTGTGGCCACCAGCATCACATATGGGTTCTGGTTTATGTCCTGTGTGCAACAACTGCTAAAGGCCTGGGAAAACCAGCAGAGATTAGCTCAAGTGTTTGGACTGTGATAGCTCATGTGGGGGACCTGGATGAAACTCCTGGCTCCTGCATTTGGCATGGCCCAGCCTGGCCATCGTGGCCATCGGGGAAATGACCCATTAAATGGCAGATCTCTCTTTCTCTCTCTCTTCCTAACTCTTGCTTTAAAAAATAAATAATATTGAAAGGAAAAAGGCAGGAGGAAGGAGGAGGGAAAGCAGGAGTCAGTGAAAGTGGGAAGAATCATTGCAGGTTTAAATTGTATATATGAACTACGTGAAATCTGTTCTCTTTATGAAATAAATATGTTTAAAAAGAGGTTATTTTAATGCTAGGACCAGTACAACTTCTATGAAGGGGTGGGCCAGCTCTGGTTTAATAAACCCCTAAACATCAACTCATGTGTGTCCTTTCTCACTATATACTCCACTTGTTTCTTTCCTCACACAATTGTGAAGAACAAGTATAGTTCAGGACATACTTATATCAGGGAGGAATGCACTTGAAACATGCATTGTATGGAACAACTCTGATTCTATGCATTGAGTACAGCTCCACGGGATGCCTCCTTTAAACCTGATTTGAGGACAGCTTCCCAATATTTGCTTACATGAGCTCACATGAAATCTTTCAAAACATATTCTACACTCTGCTGCACCCACATACTTCTCTTTATTAACCTTCTACCCTGATATCTCACCCATAAGTCTTGTCTTTGGGGACTATAATGTAGCCTTCTGTGTGACATAAGCCTGGTGTCATGTTAGCCTCTATGTTGTAGAGCTGCCCACCTTGGGTCCCACCACAGAATACCTTTCCCTCATACCACACAGGTGGGACCTGCTTTATTGCTGATACTCACATGCATCAATAATGGGCTATAAATGATTTGCAGAAGTTACCTTATCTTCAAGTTAGGTACCCATATCCCAAAACCCCTCTGCCTACTGTCAACATGAGCACACATACATGCATGCACACATGCATGTGCACACACACACACATACACAAACACACGCAAATCTAGACTGTTTCCCTTCTGTCAAAACATTGATATCCATTTTATAATGATCTTATTATGCAACAATATAGAGAACATGATCTTTTCCTGTTCATATTCTCATTATTATTAGTTTTACTAATATCTTATTGAGAAAGTCAGAATGGTTATGCAGCTGGCTTGAAACCTTCTTTTCTTGGCCTAGGCTTTTATGTAAGCAGGCTCTTCGAATGTATGATATGGGGGTGGACATCCGTGAAGTCACTCTAGATTTGTAGTGGTTAACTCAATAGTTTCTACCTCTCGCTTTGAGGCAAAGGCATCCCAGATTATGAAAATTATTACAATTACAGCAGTGAGGGAGATGAAGGAGCCCATTGATGAAACAGTGTTTCACATTCTATAGGCATCTGGGTAATATGAATATCATCGGGGCATGCCAGAGAGTCCAAGGAAGTGTTGAGGGAAGAAAGTTAAGTTCACTCCTACAAATATTATAGTGAAGTGGATTTTGGCCCAAGTAGGGTCCAGAGTGTAGCCTGAGAACAGAGGGAATCAATGAGTGAATCACCCCCCCCCCCAAAAAAATGGGAAATACAGCTCCTGTGGATAAGACATGGTGGAAGTGGGCTACCACTTTGGAGAACAATATCTAGGGAAGAGTTGGCTAGTACAATTCCTGTAAGGCCACCTACTGTAAATAAGAAAATAAACCCCAGAGCTCAAAATATGGCTGGGGATCACTTAATATTTCCACCATGTTGGGTTGCTAATCAAATAAATACCTTTACTCCCAGTAGGAATGGCAATAATTATAGTAGCTGATGTGAAATAGGCTTGTGTATCCACAGTCCATTCCTACTGTGAATATGTGGTGAACTCAAATGATAAACCCAAGGAAACCAATTGATATCATAGCCCACACTATTCCCATGTAGCCAAATGGTTCTTTTTTGCCAGAAAAATATGTTACAATATGAGAAATTATTCCAAATCCTGGAAGGATAAGAATATATACTTCAGGGTGTCTGAAGAATCAAAATAAGTGTTGATAGAGGATAGGGTCTCCTCCTCCTACAGGGTCAAAAAACGTTGTGTGTAGATTTTGGTCCATTAAGAGTATTGTAATGCCAGCGGCTAGAACTGGCAGGGAAGAAGAAGAATGGCTGTTATGACAACAGATCATACTGAATAAGGGGGTTTGATGCTGAGATATAGCAGGGGGTTTTAGATTGATGATAGTTGCAATAAAATTAATGGCCCCTAGAGTAGAGGACACCCCAGCCAAGTGAAGAGAGAACATAGTTAGATCATCCGAGGCTCCTGCATGGGCTGTTACCCGCTAGTGGTGGGTAAACAGTTCAGTCAGTACCTGCACCGGCTTCTACTATTGATGAAGCTAACAGAAGAAGAAAGGATGGTGGGAGGAATCAAAAGCTTATATTGTTTATACGGGGGAAAGCTATATCAAGTTATTAGTGGGACTAACCCGTTTCTGAAATAGGTATCACTATGAAGAAAATTATTACAAAGGCATGTGCAGTGATGATTACATGATAAATTTGGTCGTCTCTAAGTAAAGTTCCTGGTTGGCCTAATTCTGCTCAAATTAACAGACTAAAGGCTGTTCTTACCATTCCAGCTCAGGCTCCAAATAGGAGATAGAGAGTTCCGATGTCTTTATGGTTGGTAGAGAATAATCATCGGTTAATAAACAGAAGCATTGGTAAAATGGCTGAGTAAGCATTAGACTGTAAATCTAAAGACAGAGGTTGAGCCCTCTTTACCAAGCACTGAGGTGAAATTTTCATGTTGAATTGCAAATTCAAAGAAGCAGCTTCTATTCTGCCGGGGCTTCTCCAGCCTTTTTTTTTTTTTCCTTATGGCAGGAGAAGGAGATTGAAGCCAGTTGACTAGGGTATTTAGCTGTTAACTAAAATTTCATGGGGTTGGATCCCACCAATCTAGGGGGACTTAGCTTAATTAAAGCACCTGATTTGCATTCAGAAGATGTGAAGTTAATTTGCAGTCCTTAAGCAGGAGTTAAGTATAATTTACTTGCTTAGAGCTTTGAAGGCTCTGGGTCTGTGTAACATAAAACCCTTCTAAGTTTAGCTTAGTACTGAAAATATTGGTGTGAGGGGAAGAAATATTGTTGATAAAATGATTAGTGGGGCTATAAATAGTATGTGTTTCATTGATTGGAATTGTCATTTTGTTTTTAAGTTCTTGGTTGTTGGGAATATTGTCAGTGAGGTAGATGAGGTGTAAATAGAAGTATAAATTTAGAAGTGCTAATATAGCCATTGTGGTGGGTATGATGTTATTGCCATTTTTTGTTAGCTCTATTCACTTAGGGATAAAGCCTGTTAGTGGGGGTAGGCCTCCTAGTGATATTAAGGTAATTAGGATGGCTGAAACTATTAGTGGGGTTTTATTTCATATTTGTGATAGTGAAAGGGTAGTTGTGCTTGTGTGATGTATAAATATTATGAATATGGGAATTTTAATAGAATATAAGTAATTAGATTTAGAATTATAGTATTTGGATTAAATGTAATAATGGCTACCATTCATCCCATGTGGGCAATTGAGGAGTAGGCTAAGATTTTGTGGAGCTGGGTTTGGTTAAGCCCTCCTCAGCCACCAACTATAATTCATAGGATGGCTACTAACATTGTTATGGTTGAGTCGATTGATGGTGAGATTTGGTAAAGGACAGATAGGGGTGCTAGTTTTTGTCATGTAAGAAGAATGAGTCCTGATTTTTTTTTTTTTTTTTTTTTTTTTTTTAGATTTCATATATATATATATATATTTAACTTTTATTTAGTAAATATAGATTTCCAAAGTACAGCTTATGGATTACAATGGCTTTTACCCCCAAAACTTCCCTCCCACCTGCAACCCCCCCATCTCCTGCTCCCTCTCTCATTCCATTCACATCAAGATTCATTTTCAATTATCTTTATATACAGAAGATTGATTTATTAGATTTACATTTATTTAAAATACAAAGTGGTGAAATGAAGGGCTGGCATTATGGTGTCATGGGGAAGGCTGCTGCCTGAGATGCCAGCATTCCATATGGGCACTAGTTCTTGAACCAGCTTACTCAACATCCAATCTAACTCCCCACTAATGGCCTGAGAAGATCAGCAGAAGATGGCCCAAGTGCTTAGGGGGACCCCTTGGGTTACTTCTGGGACTCAGAAGTGAAAGGGAGCTATTCCTAATTTAATGATTAATGCTAATATAATTAAGATTGGGGTAAAGTGATTTTGTGGATTATTGTTCATTGGCCAGAGTCAAGAATGTTAAGTGTGATTACTATTATTAAGATTATTGATGCTGTGGCTTGTGTTAAGAAATACTTAGTTGCAGCTTCTGTTGATTGTGGTGTGGCTTTGTTAATTAAAATTGGAATAATGGCTAATATATTTATTTCTAGGCCAATTCATATGGTTAATCAGGGGGAGCTAAATACTGTAATTATTGTGCCTAGGAACAGGGTGACTAGAATAATAGTTAGGACTAGGGGGTTAATTAGTATGGGAAGGATATAAACCAACATTTTCGGGGTGTGGGCCTGATAGCTTATTTAGCTGACCTTACTATAGAATTTGGTGTATCAGGTAGCATGAAGAATTTTGAGTTCTTAGGTGTAGGTTCAAGGCCTATAGTTCTAGAAATAAGAGGGCTTAAACCTCTATTATTTACTCTATTAAAGTAACTCTTTTGTCAGACATATTTCTATATGTGAGGGGGAATGCTTGAAAGTATAATGGGTATGGAGATGTGTCATATGCATAGAGCTATTGTAAGAGGTAGGAAACTTTTTCATAGGAGTTGTATGAGATTGCTCATAATGAAATTGAGGGTAGGATGCTCAAATTCATAGGAATGACACTGTTAGTAGGAGGATTTTTACAGCAAAATTAATTGTAAACATTTCTGGATTAGTGTGGCTGTGAAATGAGCCTAAAAATAGGATGTCTCTGAGAGCATTTATTATAATAATATTAGTATACTCAGCTAGAAAGAATAGAGCAAATGGGCCACCTGCATACTCTACATTGTTCCAGGCTACTGGCTTCAGCCAGGCTTGGCCCTAGTTGTTGTACTTTGGGGGAGAAAACTGGCAGCTGGAACTCTCTCTGTCTCTTTCTCTACCTCATTGTTGATTGGTGTTTCAAGGAAATGTAAACAAATAGGCATTAAAAAAAAACATTCTGTCTTCTGTATCCCTAGTGGCATATATTTTGTGCACTGTTTTACTGAAAATACCTCCTGTCATGACCTTACTTTGTGACTGAGGGTCCCATTCCATTCTCTGTCCCATTACAGCTCTGAACTCACCTGACCCAGCACCTCAGATTTGACTCTGCCACTGGGCCACTTCTGGATACCACCAGAACAGGGCTTGGGTTGTGTGGCAGAAGCAGGAAGTAGTTACCTGCTGACAAGACCTCATGTAAGCCAATCTGCTGAAAAAGATTTTGGAGGTGTATACACACACACGCACAAACACACACACATCAGTGTGTTGCATTTTGATATAGCAGTGTCAAAATTTAGGACCTCAATAGCAACCAAGTGCTACAGATTGCATAGCATGATACTCCTGTTGGAAGCAAACATTTCATCAAAGCCCCAGTCTACAGTTGTGTGATGTGTGATGACCAATTGCTTGGATGAGACTCAAGTTTTGGGATGCCTGTTTATCAAATCCTATGATGATGTTGCAACACTCTGAAGAGATTTCCTGTACAGATTTGATACAGTATGACCATGGTAGCAACTGTGGAGACAGGCTGACTATCAGTAAGAGAATCAACCTTCTGAATTCAGGGGACTTGAAAACTCCACTGAAACATCAGCCTTGACATGTGCCTACTTTTATAAACAAACAGAACAAGCCAACTGGTTTTGCCCTGGGAACTATTGCAAGGAGAGTTGCTAATCATTATATCAATATTGTAAATCCAGCCAAAGATAACTGCATATCTAAATGTCATCTATCCAATGGAATCAGCACTTCAGTGCCTCAGGTTCTCTGTGGAGTAAATGGAATTTCAATCCACCTGAGTTTTGGCACCCTTGCAACTGTGGGACCTGTTTTGTCAGATCTGGGACAAAGATGCCAGAAGAAAACTAAAAGCTTCAGGACAGCTCAATCACAGGACAACTTGCTGACTCAATAACAATAGAAACAGATTGCCTATCCTTGCAGCTATGACTTGTCCAAGGGACATGCGGTTTTTAATCCCTCAAAGAAAGACTGCATTTTCCTGAATAAGGGAGCAGAAGAGTATAGCTTATAGGTCAGAGGCATCAGAATTGTCCAGAATTTTTCACACCTCTCTGCACACATTTGAGTACCATGATTGGACAGCTTAATGGATGGAAATGGAGTTTATCCTGGGAGATAACGATGTCATTGTTCACCAGCCAAACAGTGACTCCTTCTCTCCATTGCACACCCGCTACAGGGATTTTCTGAAGTTCCAAGGAGATGGAAATTACTATAAAAGTTATATTTCTATGGGCAATGCCAGAGACTGTGTCATGCTTATTCAACAACATGTATATTCAAGATTATTGGAAAACCGTCTATGGACCCTGTACTTTGTTATAAAACATTTGGGAATTAAAAGAAACAACAAAGTTTGAGCACAACCAGATCAAGTCAACTACAACTACTACCACCTTCCAACTCCAACACCCTCACCAAACCAACAACAAACAAAAACCACACAGGTCCCCATCTACCTACAGTGGAATCTTCATGCCCTGTAGGTGAGTTCTCAGGGTCCCCATTTCTTTCACTGACTTTAACTCAGGGCAACTCAACAAAACTTACCCTCCTGGGGAACAGAGGGGATGAATCTCCCTAATTCTTCTCTCCATTGTGGTCCTGCAATTTGATCTGCTCTAGCCATGTTGTAAGGTAAAGGCTAATGGAAGCACATTGATCAGGTGGTAGAGGATCTAACTGCCTGTTCAGGGAATAGGAAATAGTTAAAGGTACTCTAGTATATTAAGAGGAACCAAGTGGGGTGAAGGCAAAGTACTTTAGTCACATAACCAGGATTTGATCATGGAAAAGGGGCCTGTAATGAACCAAATAGTATTTCAGGCTGAGG